GTTAAGGGAGAAAACCCTGGTTTTCCAATTAAAGCACTACTCTGTGCTCCAGAAAGCAGTGGACATTCAGTACCATGAAAGATAAGGACATTATATTTACCTGACAGCTTGAAGTGAAACATTTCCATTAGCTGGGGAAGAAGGTCTTGCCTTGGGGAAACTGGTTGACTTAGGTTGTAAGAGAGGCTTGGACTTTGATAATGACATAGACTTGAGCCAGATATCTCGGGATGGCAGTGAGTCAGTCTCTGACAGCCATTAATCCAAATAGCCATCAGGTATAAATGAAATGAGCATGAAGTCTCAGGGCAGTTAATTATAGATAACAAAGTGTAGCACATAAAGTACTTTTAGGCAGCCTAAGCAGAAAGGCAAAGGAATAGAAGACTATGAAGATTAAAGTGGCCATTTTATAGTCTCTATTGGTCAGGACTCAGGCACATAATATTGTCTCTTGATTGTTGGGTTGCCTCTCATGTTCATCACTCTTGATTATCCAAGGCATTTCAGCTCACACCTTTTCAAGCACTGAATTTTTTGAAAAAAAAAAAAATCCACCTCAATATTTGTCTTAATCGCTTCTTTATGCCCCAAATGACTTGTGGGCCAATGTCATCCGTGATGTAACTCCTTTGACTACCTCAGGCCCAATAGCTTACTTGGGTTAATGTTGCCCAAGTACCTGGCCACAGGCATAAATCTTTGTTATGGTCTCCGCCATCTTCTCTGTCAGCACGCCAGTAAGGAGATCCCCAACCCCAAATCTAGAGCTTGCCCCCCTAGGGAGAGCCTACAGGCCATGCAGGGGCTGCTGGAAGCAGGGACAGCCCCCAGAGCCTGGCCCCTCCCCAGATAGCCTGTAGGCCATGGGGGGGGGCAGCCCTGCAGGAGGGTGCAGAGTCTCGTTCCCCACCCCCAGACAGCCTGCAGGCTGTAGTGGGAAGGGCTTCCAGCAGGGGACTGCTACCCTGGCCCTCTGGGAGGAGTTGCCATTGGAGCAGCACCACTCTTGCCACCATATACGGCCCTGGTAAGCTCCCCCTCCCCCCACCTCCTGAGCCCTTGGCCCTGAGTCCTGCACCTTCCACCTGCCTTGACTACAGTACCCCCTCCCCCTGTCATGAGACCCCACACACCTCTCACAACCATCTGCCCTAAGCCTCTCCTCAGCCCCAAACTCTCACTCCAGCCTTCATTTTTGAAAAATAAAATCATTGAAATAATGCATGTATATTGTTCATTTATTTTTCCCTCCAAAAACCCAAATTCCTTCAACTACAGACCCGAACAATGCTGGGTACATCTCCTAGTACGTGTGTGTGTAATTCCTCATAGCTTCAGACGTACATAGCCATATATACTGCACAGATCAATGAGACTGTCCTTTTTTGAAGAATTTTCAGATTTTAGTCCCTTCTGAATCCAAACTTCAGAGAAAGTAAGAGTCAGTGCTTAGAAGTCTGTCATCATCACTGATTTCTGTATGTACCTGGTATGTAGGAGATGTGGATTCAGATTTTCTCTTTGCCTGATTCAAGCAAGGTATGTCAATCCACCTAATTCTGAGGTAATGCCCTTAGCACCAGACTATAGAGTCATTCATTCTCACACAGGTTCGTTCTTGATTGAAGGAATATTTAAATAGTTAAAAGCTTCACCAAGACAGAGTGAGAACAGCCCAACCAAGAATAGCCTAGCCCTGTAGTGATTAGGGTGCTCACCAAACAGAATAGTTTCAGAGGGGTAGCTGTGTTAGTCTGTAACTGTAAAAAAAACCCTTTAAAAACCAGTAAACCTGTGGTACCTTAAAGACTGAGGGTATGTCTGCACTAGCTCATTAATTCGAGCTAGGTAGGCAAATCAGGCAACCGGAGTTGCAAATAAAGCCCAGGATTTAAATATCTTGGGCTTTATTTGCATGTTCCCATCTGGCCACCATTTTTAAGTCCCCCTTAGTTGGAACAAACTGCCTGCAGCTATACGCAGCAGTTTAAAGTTAATCTGAACTAAGTCCTGCAAGCAGTTCGTTCGAACTAAGGGGGATTTAAAAATGGCGGCCGGACGGGAACATGCAAATAAAGCCCGGGATATTTAAATCCCGGGCTTCATTTGCAACTCCAGTTGCCTGATTTGCCTACCTAGCTCGAATTAACGAGCTAGTGTAGACATACCCTCATATATATAATCATGAGCTTTCATGGGAAAAATCATCTCATGTGAAGAAGTGTGTTTTGCCCATGAAAGTTGATGATACTTTTTTGTTAGTTGCTAAGGTGCCATATGTCTATTCATTTTTAAAAGTTGTTTTTTACCAAACAGAGAAGTTGAAAAGCTTCAGGGGGTAGCCGAGTTAGTGTGTAACTGGAAAAACTTAAAAAACAACAAATAGTCTTGCAGCACCTTAGAGGCTACGTCTAGACTGAAAGCTTCTTTTGGAGGAAGCTTTTTCAGAAGAGATCTTCTGGACAAAAAAAATTTTAAAGAGAGCATCTATACAGCAAAAGTGCAACGAAAAAGCGATGTGCTTTTTTGAAAGATAGCATCCACATTGATTGGATGCTATCTCACATTTCATTTGTGATTGCTGTGGACAGAGTGGCCACCAGGGCCACTCTTCCGTGTCCACACATGCCTTTTTCTGAAAAAGCTTTTTTCAGAAAAAGGCTTCTTCCTCATAGAAAGAGGTTTACCGCTGTTGGAAAAACCCCTCCATTCTTTCGACTTTCTGTAAAAAGAATGCAAAAGCAGTGTAAGACGTAAGTGTAGTCTTTCTGGAAAAACTCTGCAGTGTAGACATACCCAGAGACTAACAAAACATGTAGATGGTATCATGAGCTTTTGGGGGTACAACGAAATTTGAACAGAATTCACAACAGAAGTTTGAAGTCCCTTTTCCCACGGTGGGGAATCAGACTTGGGACCCTGACATCCAAGGCAAGTATCCTTAAGGTTGGGTTAATGGCTAGAAGGACAAATACTCATGGTCCTCTCAAGCAGATTGGATTTTGCTGAAAAATTCCAAATATTTTCAGACCTGAATATTTTGTTCTCATTTTTGTTTTGCTGGCCAAACTGCAAAATCAGTTATTCACCCTGTTCTGATTATAATGCAATTGCTTGCAGGTGGTTTGCATTACAGATGTGTCTACCCAGAAGAATTCACAATCAAAATTGCCTTTCTTAATGCTTACTTTATTAAAACACAATGGAGTTTTTCTTTAAAATCTGCATCTGTAGATTGACAGTGACCTCCAGTGGCATAATACTTAGTAAAACATTAGAGTAATTAAGAGTATGTTAAAAATACATATTTTAAGTCCGATTACCCCTCTAAATGTAATCATTTAAATTCATGCCAGATACCAACTGCTTAATCAAATCAGTGCACACCTAATTTAAAACAGATACTAGAACTGTTAGTGTGCCTTGGAAAGCTGTCTGCATATCACAGAAAACAGACTCATTGTGATCCTAGTAATACTATCCTTTGCTGACGATGTAGATGTTGATAAATTGCATAGTCAATTGCTTGACCACACTTTTGTTCATTATGGAATATGCTCAAGAGACCAAATAACCAATGTCAGTCAGATTTATTAATACGGTACAGGAAATGATACCAGTCTCCAAAGAGCAATCCCATGCAGCGATCTGTTCACCTTAGCAGAGGGCATGCTCCCCAAGTTACGCATTTCAGCTGCTACTATTTACATGAGTTTACAGGTTGTATCTTTCTTTACATGCCACTACAATCCAACCACCCAGGTTGTTCCAGTTCTCTAACTTGTCATTCTGTTTCTGCCTTATCATTGTTCAGGATACTAGCATTCCAGGTACTAATCCATGAAGGTAATTCCCTGGCTTGTACTAAGGCCTAACGTAAATGTATCAATCTGCTTATGCCCGATGCTTGTTTCTGCAAATGCAAGGCATTATGAAATACTTAGCATAAGTGAACAGGATTATGGTATAGGCCAGTTTAGGCTCACTCGCTGTTCCAACATTTGTACTTGGTGTTATTGGTGCTTAATGCATACTTACATAGTGTAGATAGTATGAATATGAATATGATACATATTCATATGCTACCCAGCATATATTGGACAACACAAAAACATTAAAATACAGGATATGCTTGCAATGATGGGGCATGGGTGGTCAGATCATATATTCAGCAACAGTCTCAAACATCTCCAGTGACTGTTTAGGAATGAGATTGTGAGTGTTCTTTTTATCACCAGCTGTACTGTTAGTTCCACTCCTTCCAGCTCTAGAGTGCCACAGCTGTCATGTGTAGCCAGAACATGTCAGGCTTTATTGCTCAGTTTTCCTATTGCCCAGACCTGTTCCAGCTTCTGGAATTTACTAGAGAAATGCATGGAGGTTAGGTCCATCAGTACTTGCTAGCCAGGATGGGTAGGAATGGTGTCCCTGGCCTTTGTTTGTCAGGGGCTGGAAATGGGTGACAGGGGATGGATCACTTGATGATTCCCTGTTATGTTCACTCCCTCTGGGGCAGGGGCAGGTGAGAGTGCCGTGGGGCCCTGGGCAGCGCCGCGGGGCCCCGGGCAGCAAAATTTCACGGGGGGGCCCCCCCCTTTACACAGCGTATGCGCCGTGGTGCCAAGGCGCATGCGCAGGGCCTCGGGAAGCGCGGGGCCCAGGGCAGCCGCCCCGCTTACCCTGCCCTAAATCCACCGCTGCTCTTGGGCATCTGGCACTGGCCACTGTCAGCAGACAGGATACTGGATTACATGGACCTTTGGTCTGACCCAGTCTGGCTGTTCTTCTTGAATTTGGAATTGAAGAAAGAAAGAAAGAAAGAACAAGGTTTTTTCTTTCTTTTTAGGAGACCCTGATTGCAGTCAGGAGTCTGAAATGGGATGTCCATGCTCTAGGCAACAGACCAAAGGACTGACTGGATTTGAAGATGGGCCCTGAATTGAAGGATGAGGTGCTGTCAAACACTTGCTGAAAGATTCCTATTTTATCTTATTTAGGGACTTCATTACCCTAGAAGAGATGAGACTGCACATTATCTTGCTGGAGGACCACATCATTAGAAGCACCAGACAATCCCGAGAGGTCTTCAGAAGGAAGTAGCAAAGGGACTATCCTGCAATGCCACGCCTAGCTATGAGGGGCCATACTGGTTGGTGAGTCACTCTCCTAGATCTTAAAATTGTATTATGTTCCTTTGTACTCTGTTTTTGTCGTGATAAGGTTGCTATGGCAGTAATCATATAATACTGTACTTGCCATGGTGTTTAGCAAGATCAATGGGACATATTGTCTGTTCAGCAAAGTTAACTCTATTGACAAACTCCTCCAACATCATTCCATACCACCACTTGGACATGGAAAGCATTTCAGGAACCAGTTCACGAAGCCATTACTATGACAGGAGTACTTCCTGCATTCTGCCCTTCACAGGGCAATGTTGCAGTAATTGAGACAACAGGAAGGCTTTATTGAGAATTATAGCTTGTACATGGAGGTCAAAGGCCAAATCTTATACTATAGGCACGAAGAACTGACCATATTTAGATACTGCCAGGATGTGGGAAAATAGAGTGTGGAGTTGAGTACATCCATATGATGGTCTGAAACTGGAAAAGTGATAGGAGGGAGGGAGGGAGGGATGAATGAATGCATGAAGTGGTGATGAAGAGGTTTTTGTTCTGGTCTTGGTACACTCGGTCTGATGTCTGGACATCCAAGAAAACATGTCAGAAAAACAGACTGAAAGTTTGGTGAGGATATGAGATGGACCTAGGGGGCAGAGGTGTCTCTATTATCTCCAGGCTGATATATTATTGTGAGTAAGTTTTCCTAAAAGGAGTGGAGGCTGGGCCCTTTTAAGCCGTCACAGAATGTTGGAGTGGAGATGATGAGCTACCAAATGGGAGCCGTTAGAGAGACAGGAGAAGACCCAAGGGAGAACTACATTTCAAAAGCTGGTGGAGATGGTAAGATTTGAAGGTGTTGTGTCGCTTTGTTTAACCTTCATCTGTTTTACACTGTAAGCAGTCTGGGACATGAACTGTCTTATTCTAAACTTTAAAAGCACCTAGAACACTTCAGTTTACTGTGACAAAGAAAGCCATGGTGCAACTAGAACAGACTATACTTGCCTAACATCTGTCATGATAGTTGTACAATATCTTTCCATTCTGACACAATTACATCGTTGTTAATATCTGGGCATATAGCATGTACAAAGATGCAGCTGCATATCCATATTTCTGATAAGCTGAAGCAATAGAAAGAAAAATTTTGCTGCTGAAAAATATACTTGAACAAAAAAAGACAGCTCTCCTAAAGCGTTAGAAAAGGTGTGTGGTGGTGTTTTTGATGGGGGACCGCTCCAAGAATTTGGTAAATGGTCAAGGGCCACCTTCTTCGATGATATGAATGGAGGAGGTGCGGAGTCTTGAATGGAGGTTGGGTGCAGAAGGGAGCTTGGGATAAGGGGGTGTGGGGTCTGGGAGGGAGTTTGGGTGATGGAGGGAGTTGTGACCTGGGTTAGGGATGTTAAATATCGGTTAACTGAATAGTCAAGTAACCTCATGGAATCTTATCAATTACTTGACTATAGATACAAAGGCAGCAGTGCGGGGTGGCAGCAGCCCTTGTCTGGGGGGAGGGAGGGTCTGTGCTTCCAGACCAGGCACGAGCCAGAACTGAGCCGGGCTGCCTGCCTGCCTGGCTCCTAATACACTTTAAATGCAAAGCTGCAGCAGAGGTAGGTCACAGATCCGTCCCAAGTTAGTACTGAGCCAGGCTGCTGGCCAGCCTGCTAAAAAATATATTGGGAGGAAGGGGGAAAATGCATGTATCGATAGCATTAACCTATAAACTTTTGCTTCTTGGTTCATCAACGACACTATTACATGCCGAACCTGGGTCAGAGGATTGGGGAGGAGGGTCCAGGAGAGGATGTGGGTATAGGTGCAGGAGAGGAGGAGTATAGGAGTGGGCGCAGGGTCTGGGAAGGCGCATGAGTGCAAGAGCAGGGCTGCAGAGGATTTGGGTTACGTGGGCTGGGGTGCAGGAGGGGGAGCAGAGGGTTGGGGGAAGAAGGGGCTAGGATGCTATGGGGGAAGGCTCTAGCCAGGAGGTGCTTGCCAGGGAAGCTGCCAGTCAGCAGCTCAGCAGAACCCTCAAGTCAAATCTTTACAGCAACTTCCTTTTTGTTTAAAGACTTGAGTATTCGGAGGCAGAATGCCAAATTCTCCTGGTAGACCTCAGTAACACAATGAAGTCAGCATGAATACAGCAGCCAGAGAGCAAGGTTCAGCCACTAACGGCTGACAGACCTCTACCTTACTGCAAGGCAAAACAAACCACAGAAAAGGGGGAGAGAGCTCCAAAATTATTGCCTAGATACCAAAGTGGGTGAAAGGGACCATTGCAAAAGGCCTGTTTTGGGGCTTTTAAATAGGTGAAGGAATAGCCACATCCAGTGGGCTAACAAAGTACAGCTCCTGCTGATGGCAGAGTTCATCTGCCACTGCTCCCTCCTCATTTACATTATTTGGTATGGAATTCAAGATGTTCTGGTATTTATAAATGGAGTCTTCCCTGAAGCTGCTTCATTGGGAATTTGTTTCTCCTTCACAACTTGCAATGGGTTGGAGGGCCTAGAAGGTCAGGCTTCATTTATCTGCTGGCGCTCTTTGAAGGCTTCACTGCCATGGGAGATAAGGAAAACCCAATGTATTTCTGAACATGGAAGGCATCCAAAAATCAGGTTTCATTGCAGAGATTAAGGGCCAAATTAAAGAGCCATAGGCTAGGAAGTACATGAAATGCTGGACCAAAGGGCTACATGGCAGGAGACAAAAGGGTTGAAAGCCACAGATGGGGAAAGCATGAGTAGAGCAGTTTCATGACATCTGCTTACCATGCAAACTAATTGGAATAAAGACATTGAAAACAGGACTAAATTCTAATCCTCTCTTTGGAGGTTTATCTGTCTAGACTGGGCCAAATGTCAGAAAAAAACCCCCGTCTTTTGAAAGCCCCCTTCTTCCCCGTGGAGCGAGGAATATAGGGGCTTCCGAAAGGGTGCGTTTGCTCTTCCATAAAAAAAAAAGCGAAAGACCAAATGCATTCCCTGGACACGGAGGAGTTTTTGGTATCCCGAATCCTCCCCCTGTTCCCCCTCAGTCTAGCTGTATCCTCAATGACAACTGGAGGGGCATGTGAGATCGGAAGTCCCAACTAGGAAATCATAGAATCATAGAATACTAGGACTGGAAGGGACCTCGAGAGGGCATCGAATCCAGTCCCCTGCCCTCATGGCAGGACCCAGTACTGTCTAGACCATCCCTGATAGACATTTATCTAACCTACTCTTAAATATCTTCAGAGATGGAGATTCCACAACCACCCTAGGCAATTTATTCCAGTGTTTAACCACCCTGACAGATAGGAAGTTTTTCCTAATGTCCAACCTAAACCTCCCTTGCTGCAGTTTAAGCCCATTGCTTCTTGTTCTATTTTCAGAGGCAGGGAGAACAAATTTTCTCCCTCCTCCTCGTGACACCCTTTCAATACCTGAAAACCGCTATCATGTCCCCTCTCAGTCTTCTCTTTTCCAAACCAAACAAGCCCAGTCATTTCAGTCTTTCAGAAATGGAGAGCAGAGGGATGAACTGCTAAGATAGGGTCTACCCATGAAGCCCCTATTCAGATGATCAATGAGGCAAAATTCACGATCGCCAAAGGATGTTTATTAGGCCATGCGGGATTTGACCCAGAGCTGAAACTATAAAATATCAGAGGACACAAACTAAAATGTATTTCAGTTTTTCTGCAGAAGTTTGATGAAATCAATGGGGAGATCTGCGTCAATTTCACATGGAAAAATACACATTAAAAAGAGCAGGCAGGGACTCTACTGCTTCCCAGGAACCATAAAAGCTTTGAGAGACTGACCGAACAAGTGGTGTTAGCCCCATTCAACATACTGATGGCTTCAGAGACTTTTGATAGCACATTTCTTTTGAAATGCCTCCCATGCCACTAAGCACATGTTTTACAGAGAACTGAATGATCGCAGCTATAAAATGACAATGAGTTCCATAAAACTTAACACTATGGAACCAAACTGTTTGCTTAACGTCATGCATGCAGTTGCTTAGACAAAGCTAGGAATCACACATGAAAGCAAGAACAGTGCTGAAATCTAAATGAGTAGTTTGAAAAAGCCCTTACTATGTTTTAAAGCCCCTATTAAATCTCCAATTTAAACCTACGTTAAATTAGGTCTGCTTTTCATTCCATGTTTACCCCTCAGTCATCCCTGTTCCTTGGTATTAAATAAATATTTGAGCAGTCTGCAGGCAGTATTTGTAGAAAGCTCAATGGATGCACGCAGCACAGGTTAACTGACGTTTTCAGCTGCAGTACTTGTTCCAAAATATTTTGCTGCAATATCAATAGCCATTAGATGGCAGCATGCACAGGGACAATGCCAATGCAACAACCAGCCAATGCGGTTTAAGCAAACCAGCGAGGAGTCCTGTGGCACATTTAAGACTAACACATTTATTAGGACATAAGCGTTTGTGGGTAAAACCGACTTCATCAGTTCCACCCTTGGCTGGAAACAGGGAACCGCAGCCAATGGGAGTTGAGAGGCTCCGTGCCTATGGACGCTTAGATAAACAAAGAATCTTATGGCCCACCAACAGCTTCCCCAGGTGGGCCCACAACCCAACTTTGCAACCCCCCTCTCCCGCCCCACCTTAATAAATCGGTTAGTCTTGATGGTGTCAGAGGGCTTCCCTTGTCGACTGCAGCGTGTCTAGACTGCCCCACTGTGCCGGATCAGCTGATCGCCAGCACAGCGCGGCAACCATTTTGATGTAAATGAAGTGCGATTATTTAAATCGCCACTTCATTTTCCTACGTCTAGTAAATTCATCTACATGGCTCCGTCGATGGAGCCGTGTAGTCTAGACACACCCTATGAGAACTGGTAACAAAAGGACTCAGTGAGGAACAATTTATTTGTTGTGCTAATTTGCAGGACTCAGAGTTTGACTTTAGAGTTTTTTTTCTGACTAAAGCCACCCTCTGAGAAGGGCGGTGACTAGGGATGTGAAAGGTTAACCAGTCAACCGGTAAGCACC